TGCTATATAGTAGTCACAATAATCCTATGCAGTATCAACCCCATTTATGGTAGGGAAGGAGATGTGCCACCCATCAAAGGGCTTGTTGACCTAGCTGCTGAAAGTCTATTGTGCAGATAGCACTTAGCTGTCTGATGCAGAAACCCGCCTAGCCCAAAGTTATGCCCTTGCCAGACTGATCACATCCAGTGGCTGAGCTGGTGGAAGCCATGTGGGACCAATGCAGGACAACTCCAGTGGACCGTTTTAGCTTCAGAGCTCCCATGGGATTAGCCAAGGTGAAGGCCCTCTGCCCAGTTCTACTTCCTTTCTCTCCCTCCATAGGCATTGATCCCACAGATATTATGTCTCTTAGAAACATCCTGAGGAAACCTCAAGCACACCAAACTTCATCAAAGAGTCTGCTTTCCAGAAAAACACTCATGTGCTACCCCATTCTACAAAAATGATCAAGCAGGAAACTCCTCGCTAAACCCATCGCTTGGCATAGGTGCTGGGGGAGTGAGATTGCCTAAGTATTTGAGTCTCACTAAAACCACTATGGCTGATCAGGAATTTCAAACTGAACTCTGAACTGTATCTCCAAGAGGGATGGCAAGTAAGATCCCACCGGGAGACCTGTGGAGGCTTGGGAATGTCAGGTGGAAAGGTGCTCTACCTCTCCTGGGAGCAAGCAAGATCCAGTCCCTTAGCAATTGCACAGCGGCTATAGGAGATGACCCATAGCCAGTCACAGTAGCACACAAAAGAAGGAACTTCATCTCATTCTCTCCACCTCATATCCTCTTTGCTAAGAATGTCAGCTTTATAAAAAAGACTCTGAGCATTTTATCAAATGATTAACCACAAAAAGAGCAACTTACCAATTCAAAATTCACTTATTTTGGTCTTGAAAATTTCTGTTGTGCAGATATCAGGTTAATTAGAATTACTTTCAGTAAGAGGTATAGGAAAACTAACTAGGTCTCTCCTTTATTCAAACGTTGTCATCGTCACCTCACATGGTCTTTTGGAATATTATATTCAAAGCTATTAATTTTTTAAATTGCATTTTAACGGATTCTTTGGGGGAAGACTATGATTTAAAAGGTTCTACCTAGCCGGGCTCGGTGGCTCAGCTTGTAATCCTGTGCCTTTGGGAGGCTGAGGTGAGTGGATTGCCTGAGTCCGCGGGTTCGAGACCCACCTGGGCAGGCGAGACCTCATCTCTACAATAAATCAAAAAAATTAGCGGGGCGTGGTAGCACGCTCCTGTAATTCCGGCTACTCAGAAAGCTGAGGCAGAAGGATCGCCAGAGCCCAGCAGGTCGAGGCTGCGGTGGCCGGGAGCAGCCACTGCACTCCAGTCTGGGCGACAGAGTGAGACTCCAACTCAAAAAAAAGGTTCTACCTGCTAAACAATGAACTAATAAAACATCATATAAGAATCTATCAGATGAGTTTTCTAATTACACTCATTTACCAAACTATGGAATTAAAATAAAATACATAATTTCAAAATATTTATATTTATAACTTTAGTTCAAATCATGAATGTAGTTCCCAAGTAAGAACACTATTTAGAAGATGAAAGTGTATCAAGGAAAAAGGGATGAACTAAAGAATTGGGAGCAAAAGTTCTAAAGACCAGCCTTAAAATGCCTAACATGCTATGGAGGTGAAAAAAAAAAAAATCTGAACAACTCCCCCCCGAGCAATGGTTCTTAACCTTTTACACACCTACAAATATTTCTTAAAACTGCATCTCCCAATGTATATTTGGAATCAAAAACTGGAAAGACAAGAACTATTTATGAATTTTCTCTAAATAAGAAACATGGGTGAAATCCACTCAGAACATTGGAAGTAAAGTTGTAAAAGAGAATTATGTTAAAATTTCTTTCTTGATACTCTTTAAAATGTCCTTTTATAGCCAAAATCCATTTTAAAAACAGATATGCCCATTTCCGCATTTTAAAGTTATCTGTGTTGGGTTTTTGTGGGGAAAAGTGGAAGGAAACAGAGTGAAACGGAAGAGAAACTGGGTCTCCACAACAGCTAAAGTCTTAAATCTAAAACAAGCTCTAGCCTGGAGACCAGAGACCCCACTCCACCTGCCTTAATTCTGGTGTTAACCTGTTCAAAGCAAGGCCAGATCTACATGTGGGTCAAGAAGATAGACTAGTTTATAAATTGCCACAAACAATGATGGAGGGGAAAAAAAAAAACAAAACCGAAATTACCCCAAACAAATGACACCCTGACAAGATAATTCAGTTTGTCGATTTTACTACCTAATAAGCCTCCATTACAGTTTGATATGTTGGGGGGAAAACACAACCTCATCTATATAAAAGAATCAATCCATTCTAAAAGCAGCTATTAATGTCAGCTTTGGAGCACTGACTTACCCAGAAATAGCCTCCACTCCAGGCCTTGGAGTGTCTTAAAATAGACACATATATATGAGATTTCAGACATGCTAAGCACAATGTTGTTTGAGAGATGGAGCTCTTGGGAGCTCAGAGGAGATGCACTTTGCAGCTCTGAAGCATAGCTTGCATTATTTCCAGATGTCACTGTAGACTCTTTCTAGTTATACCCATGCTGATCACTGTGTGAACTCAAGGGAATAAATGAATTCATTTAAGCCAATCGCTCTTGTCTTCAGCATTAATCAAATCCCAGCCCTTGTTAATGTGATCCATCTCATTCAACACACCCACACCATTCATGAAGTGTCACAGCCCACATCACCTTGGCAGCTGTTTCAAGTTAGGAAAGTTTTCAGAGTGAAATTCGAAAGGAGACAAATAGGTTATTTATTACCATCTCTTGATGTTATTTAGCCCAATGTCTTGTAAGAAAGAGACTTTGTGAAATCTTTCTACTGGTGAAACATACGAGGGGGGAACCCAAAAAAACCCAAAATTTATTTATTTAAAATTGTATATTTACTCTTACATGTTTAAACTTCAGTCACTTTCAAAGTACTTTCTGTTTGATTCAATACACCTATTGAGATGCCTCTTCCACTGCTCAAGGCAGTTTTTGAACTCATCAATTTTGATGCCTTGTAGTGCTTCTGCTGGGTTTTTTGTTTGCTTGCTTGCTTGCTTTACCTCTTCCACACTGACAAAACTTTTCCCTTTGAGGATGTTTTTCATCTGGGGAAACAAACAAAAAAGTTACTTGGGGTGAGATTGAGTGAATAGGGAGGGTGAGGCACAGAGGTCATGCCATTTTTGGTCAAAAACTGCTGAACACGCAGTGTGGTAAGGGCAGGTGTGCTCGTAAATCACCCATCATGAAATGGGCAAATGAGTTGAAACAACCTCCAAAAAAAAATTCACTGAAGCCGAACACAACCTCTCACAACAACGCTAGCTGGTACACTAATGTCAATGGGTTCCTGGAACACTTACCTAGCAAGGGAAGTCTGTACTACAAGGGGCATGCCTTCCAAAAAAATAATTCCAGGGGTTTTTTTGGTATATATAGAATCAAAATTAACAGGCATACCCATAGCAATTTCACAGATTATGTAGAATGCTCTTTAGACAACCATAGTCAATCTGAGTTGTCCTTTTAAAGTTCTTAGGCTGTTTCCACCGAAATCCTGCATCTTGCATTCGTACTCCAAGCCCCTCAGGGATTGTTTGGGCCAGTTGTTCTTTATTTATCTTTATCTCTTTTATAACTGGTTCCAACAGGTACTGCAGAGCATAAAAGTCACATATTACACATACTAATATATTCTGTATATGGGATATGTGACTCAGAAGTAAGAGCAAGTGAGACCTCACGGGGAAAATCAACAACTGATACAAGCTCACGTGTGTTTGGTTGGCTTTTATATTACTGATGACGCAAATTTAGGCAAATACCTCTGCATATCAAAGTCGTCTTTAGAGTGCAGACAACATTCTGGAGGGGCTGAATTGCTGTATAATTAGAATGTATGTATGTAGAATACAATAATCTTAGTAACAAGAGGTTTAGATGAGCCCTTTCGCTAGAAAAAGGTCTCCTTGAAGGTAGGGATTCTGTGTCTTGTGGAAGGATAGCCACTTTATACAGTAGCACAAGAATAGCCAGTTATTTAAAGGGCCATTATAAAATTTTTAGCCAATGGTATTCATTGCTCTTACAAATGAATTGGCATAAAAGAGAGGTGTCTGTTCATACGTAGAAGCAAGCGATGGCAAGGCTTTTGAGATGCAGACCTACTGTTTGTGATGACCATAAGAAAAAGAGGGGGTGCAAAGGGAAGCACTATGAGGAGGGCCCCCGGAACAACAATACAAAGTACGTCAAATTCAAAGAAGGGAGTAGGCGGTCGTCCCAAGGGTTTGTGCTGACAAATCCAACTTTGAAGGCAACCTGAGCCATGCTTGGTAAAGGGCACATCCTCTCTTTGTCTCTAGTGCTCCCAGACACCGGATTACGGGTGGAGTGATGCAGCAGCTGGGACTAGGTCCCAGGGGCGGTGGACAGGACCGGTCCGGGTGAAAGTAAAACCCTAGGGTAGGGCCCCTCTCTCCTCCCACCCAGCTTGCTCGCTGCGCCCCCTTCCGGGCGTGCGGACCGTGTGCACGCCAGCTCCCGCACGCGGGGCAGCCTCTCCTGGATTTCAGTCTCTTTCTTCTGATCTCACAAAAACCTAAAAGCCGAGTCCCTACAACCAGCAGTCACAAACTGATCCCCGACCCTCGGCTCTCTCCTGAGCTACAGCCATTTCTCCGGGAACAACTTACTTAATACCACGAGGAGAAAGATGGGGACGAGGGCTCGGTGGGGACCCAAAAGATTCCTCCAGCATAGGTCCACCACTTTTTCAGTTTGGAGTGGCGGGGGCTGGCTCGTTTGCTCCTTCCCCAACCCCGGCCCATCCCGGTGGGCGGTGAGGTGGGCGTCTCCGGGTCTGTGGCTCCTGGCTCTCCGCCCCGCCCCCTCCTCTCTGGAACACGCTGCGTGGCCGCCTTTCTCCAGCACGCGGCGCTGCGCTCGCTTTTATCCCGGAGTCGCGTCGGTTCGTGCGCTGACAGCCCGGCTCAGCCAGTCGGCTGGAATTGAGTAGCATTCATTGAATCTGCGGCTTTCATGACGTCTCCCTGCGTGGTCCATCACTTTTCTCCTAACCGGGAATTTTTTTTTTTTTTTCCTGCCAGTCTTACCTCTTCTCCCTTCCTTCCACCCTGTCTCCCTCCCCCGTTCCTGCCCAGACGCACACCCCTCCGCCCCTCCTGTGCCCCCGGCGCCCAGCCCTCCTCTCCGCTCCCGGCCACCGGGAGCCAGTCCAGAGACGGCCGCACCTGGCTGGAGAGGCTGGGCGGGCGGAGGGGTGGGGACCCGCGGGGACCGGGAAGCTGGACCAGAGCTGGATTAGCCGCGAGGAGGATGGAGTCTCCTAACGGCCTCTCAGGGCTGGTGTGAAATTTGACCATCGGGTTCCAGTTTTTCTTTTCTTTTCGTATTTCCTCCCCTCGCCATCCGTCGTGTAGTGAATGACTAAACCCTTGCTCCGTTCCAAGAAAGGCGATCATGATGGAGTGAAGCCACCCCGTCCGCCACAAGGTAAGCGGTGCGCGGAGTTGCTCGAAGGCGAGAATCCGGCGTGCACCTGGGCGAGCCGGTCGGTGCCCTCGGTCCCTGTCGCCCCTCCCCGGCGCCGCCGGCGCTGCGAGCACCTCCACTCTGTCGGGAAACCTTGTGTCCAAGTCCACCGAAAGGCGAGGGAGAAGCCGGTTACATAACAGGAGGGAAATCTGTTTCATACGGTTTTCAGTAGCAACTGGAAACTCGCACAGGGGGCGGAGGGTGGGAGAAAGGAGGGGTCTGCCTGTCCTGGGCTCTGAGAAACCCAGTTATTGCAGACATCATTTCGACATCCGCTGGCGAAGATGAAATGCACTGGTTAACTGGCAGGGCGGCTTGTGGTGTAGTCATTGTACAGTTGGGAAAAGCCCATTGTCTTTGTCGAAAGCTGTATCTTCATTCTGCTTTGCATGGAGAGGAGAAGGGAGAGAGCGAGAACATGAGAAGAGGGAAAAGTGAGGGGTAGGGAGAGAGAGGCAGAGGATGAGAAACAATACTGGAACTCCTAACTGTTCGCTATCAATAAAACCGGAGATGTGACATGATGCCCCAAAACAGTGAGCAGGGAGATCTCCCTAGAAGTAAACTGAATTATTTTATGTTTGGAAGGGGGAAAACCCCTTCAGATAAAATAAGATGTTTATGGCATTTGAGGAGTTAGGTGAATCTGCTGAGTTTGCGTCCTCCTGGGTGATTTTCATTTTCATCAAGATATGAAGCTTGGGTTAGTTTTTAAGTGAAACAACATCGGTCTCTCCCGAACCCAATAAAACCCTAGGTGGATCCACAGGTATACCATCTCTTGTACCAGGTGCAACATGGAGAAACTCTTTGGGGGAGAAATGTATTTTAATAGAAATAGCCATAGAAATGGGGTGGAGAAACAAAATACCAGAATTTTCCAAAGAATCCCGCCTCCACCCCAAAAAAGGAAGAAAAAAAAAACTTCAATGTTTCGAAGTTGGGGATATATTATATGTTTAGAGTGTCTTCCAACTGCTTTTATCCAAAGTCCACAGGTCCTGGTGGAGCCCCATGGTACAGGGGGCAATGCCACATCCCTGCTAGCCCCATTCCCTGCCTGCCTTTTCTTTTGCTGAAAAACGGAGAAGGATGATGCCCAAGAGCTGCTTATAAAGAAAGAAAAAAAAAAAAAGGCGTGCTATAGTCAGGGCTGAGTTAAATAAGCTTCGCCCATTTTGCCTGAAGAAAGAGAAAGAGCTCGAGTCTCCATGGCGACCCAGGTGGGAGGGGAGACGGCAGCTTCCAGTTACAGGAAAAAAAAATGGACAAAACTTTCCCGGCTCCAGACAAATAAATAAGCCAGCAGCGTGCCCTGGGGAGGGTCCCAGGGCATGAGTGTACCCAACTCGTGGTCCGCGATGCTCAGGAGGACGCTTAGAGCTGGCCAGGTGTCCCTCAAATCCCGGGAAAGTTGTCCTGGGGCCGCCGAAGTGGTTCCGAGCAGGTTCCCGATTCAGCACCAAGGCCAGAGCCCAAGCACCCAGGGTGTCGCTTCCCGGGTCTACAATCCCAACTAGTAGTGTTGACTCCTCTGGTCGCGGGAAGTCAATCACTTTCTATAAAGAAAAGACCCCTTTGCTCGTGCAGAATCTGGATATCATATTATCCGCGGAATTACGTGAGGCAAAGGAGCTCGCAAATCATCCATTTTATGCATGGCAGTGCATCAGAGTTAACTATTCAAAATCAGAAACGCTGAAACACTGAAAAGACCTGAACTGAGAATGGAGAAGGGATCCCAGCCTCTGGGGAGTAAAGGGGCGCAAACACACACACACACACACACACACACACACACTCATCAACCTCGATGAGAGTCGCTAGTTTCAACGGAGTCTCTCTGGCTTACAAAAGCACCCATTCATTCCTCCTTCTCTCACACTCCTCTCTTTAACTTTTTATTGGGCATAGATGGCAGAAAGGAGCTGTGGCAGAAGAACCCTGGTCAGCGACAGACCAGCCAACCAAGATCTGTCTAAGGGTCCTAGGACCCAAAAGGGTGGAGAAATAATTTCCTCTTAGTCCAGACCTGACAAGATTTTAATCATAACTGGTGAGCTCCTGGAAATGTGTTAGCAGAATGGGAGCCAGTGATCACATCTCCAAGCCAGTGTGTGAGCAAGGTGGCCACATTTCCAAGGTTACAGGCATAGGAAACTGAAAAGAGTCACTTCTGTTAAAACAAACAAGGAAGAAACTGTGCAGGAGGGGAGAATTTATTATCATTCAAGTTCCATTTCAACCGTCATACGAGGAAAACAGGTAAGTTCGAGCTCTACTTCCCTCACCTTACCAGAAGCTGATCTCTGCCTTTCTCTCATCTTTAGTAGGTCCACCACTGCTATAAGGAAAAATAGTACAGGAAGGTGGCAGTCACGTTTCAAGTAGAAAGCCTTTAGGAATCTCATCCAGGTGTTTCAAGGTGCAGTTTGAATTGAAAAGCCCAGTTGAGCTGGGTGGAAATGTCGATCAAGCTTCTACAATATCCCTGACTGCTTTTCCCTTTAGCAGATGCACTTGTGAATGAGGTCTTGAGCTGGTTCTAGTTTGTTATTTCTAACAGTAAACAAGATATAACTCCAGTTTTCCTTGCTGGTATTTCCAATTGTGGGCATGTTGTTGTTTTCTAAAGATAATGAATGCAGCGCACTCAGGACATGATTAAAGCAGTATGTTTATACCTTTCAGTCTTTTATTAATGATTGTTAGTAAAAGCAGCACAACCTACTCCAAACCTGGGCAAAAGGGTGAGATATTACAACATTTCTTACATTTCAGTTCCTAATGGATGTTGACAAGTTTATCCATGATTTTATTTATGAAAGAGTAGCTACCTAAAGTAGAGAGAAGTGATGCCTGGAGTATTGCTAGGACTTAGACAAAGCATCTGTACCCTGACTTTGTTCCATCTGATATTATTGGAAATAGAGATTAGTTACAAAGGTAAAGCCACATAAGACTATATATTATTAATAAGCAAAGCAAGGTATTTGTGAGTCTTAAACTTCAATTTCTGTCATAAATTTTAAAAAGAGGGGGAATGGAAACAATCCAGGCATAGGAAATTGTTCAATCAATAATCTTTAGTTCTGGTAGATTCTTTGCTCAGGTATTTAGTGTTAATTCACTAAACTATGACTTGCTTTCTTACTAGGTGAGATGTTCAACTGATGGACAAAATGTCATTATGCCCTTATGTAGTCAACAGCCCACACTCCAAAATAATTGGTTTACCCCATTTCAAGTCAGCAGAACAACTTAACATTTCAAGTTAAGGAAAACAACTTAATAAAATTCACCTGCATGTGCTTGGCTCCATTTTGCAATTTTTAAAAACCTCACCTTGGTATTTCCTAAACATCAATAAATAGCTATTTATTTGCATGACCCAGGTCCTTATTTAATACATAGGCTATACATAGACTGTTTCCTTCGAGAATGCTTTAGTTCATTCTCATATTTTTTTCCTATCTTCTCACAAACTATCTCTACTTTATGGGGAGAAAAACACATGAAAATAGCTATTTAATAAGCAATAGGAAAAAATCACTGAAGATTAAAAATAAGTAAATACTGCCTTTGGGCTCTTAACCTTAATCACTGATTTTCACAGGTAAAAAGTGTTGCTGTCCTCAAGGGTTCAATGTTGACCATGTGAAGCTTCATGAAAACAAGATAAACCTTCTATATAGAAAGGCAGACAATCATGGTGAAACTCTTCTCTTTTTCACCAACTCTTTCATAATTAAATAATATATAAGTAATATGAAAATAAACCAGAAATAGGAAGGAAGAAAGTGAGGGGAAAAGGCAGTTATTTATTTTTACCAGATTTAAAGTGATGACACTTTTCAAAGCAAGGTTTGTTTGTTTGTTTTTAATTCCTTGTGTCAGAATTTTAAGTTGTGTGGAATTGAGGTGCTTAAGTTCAATGAATTTGGATTTATAGCTTAATAGGATGACATTTACTATTTAGCTTCAATAATTGACATTTAAATACCAAAAGACAATTAATTCACTCCAGAATTTTACAAAATTATTAAATGTGTTAATATCAATAAAAGCAAAATCGGTAGTTTGCTGAAAAATCAAAACATTTTTGTTGAATTAGAGTTTTATTTTTAGTTATAGTTAAAGTGTTTGGGAAGTAGAAAAATAAAATACAGACCCTTGAAATAAAAATACATTTTCAAATGTATTTTAAATAATTAGAAATAATTATTTTTATAAATCTAGCATCACATAGAATGAAGAGATCATCATAAGTGCAATTAGTTCTCTAATGGTATCCTGGATTTTCTCTGACAAAGTACTAGAATATACATACATTTGATATCATTTTAATAACATTAATTAATAGCAAAATTATTTTTCTCAAATAGAGAAGTGTCATCTTTTAAAGAATAGTTCATATCCTCCCTACACTCTAGCTTTGATCTAACCATGCCTGCTAATTTCTCATATTCATTTATTATTTATTACTCACTTGAATAGTTACTTAAACAAAACCTCAGAGAATTATTTTGTTTAGTCCTTAATATCTAAATGACTGTTCAAATCTCTATTTTGTCCAGAATGCAATAAGGCTATAAACCAACTTTCTTAATTACAATATGTAAAGTTAACCCTAAATTTTAACCAAATGGTTACTTAATTAATGTCTACATGGATCTATTCAAGTGAGATTAAATTAATTCCCCCTCAGTCTCACTTTTCACATATTTTTTCTATGACTGTGCTCAGGACCAGAGCCCATACAAGACTGAGGGTTCCTTCAGTGAATAGATTTTGACTAACACTCATAACCAGTCTTATTCCCAATCACAAAAAAGTGGTCTGTATGAAATCTTTACAAAAGAAACCAGAAAGTGCATCTGTGAGTAAAAAGATCCACATGCTTGCCAACAACTGACTTTGTAGGACTAAATCTGAATGTATTACATGCAATGTGAGAG